CTCATTATTTATAGAAACTCGTTGTGACCTGCCTAACAAATAAGACCATATAAGAAATGCCGCATCATCATCAAAACCATAATAGCGCAGTTTAGCACAAATTAGTTCATGATTTATGGTATCGAAGGCTTTCGAAAAATCTAATAGCACAAGCAAGCTAGCCAGACCCTTATCTAATGATTCGATGATATCCGTTGTAACCATTGTCAGTGCCGTACCAGTGCTATACCCCTTTCTGAAACCACACTGCGAATCAGGTATCAACTTTTTCATTGTAAAGTATTCAAATATTTGATTATAAATGATTCTTTCAAAAATTTTAGACATAGTTGGTAAGATACTGATAATTCTCAAATCAGAAAAGCTCGAAGGATCACGTTTTTTGGGAAAAGGTTTACCAACAGCAATCTTCCATTGACTCGGAAAATATGACTTTTCGAAACAGCAGTTAATTATATGTGTAATATAAACGTCAATAAATGGACTGCAATATTTTATCATACAAGAAGATATTTTGTCAACACCTAAAGCCTGAGTTTTTATACCTTGTAAAATATTATGAACATCTTCTGCGGTCGTTAAATGAAATGAAAATTGGTTATCAAGATTAAATGAATTTGTACTAAAAAAATCAATCTTCTCCTCACAATTATTGGTAACATTTTGTACAAATTTAGCAAAGATATTATTGATTTCGTTGGGATTTGATAAATGATCAGGTATCATAAGATTATTATTAGCACGAATATTAAGATTGCTCAGTGCATTCCATGTTTTACGAGAATTATTTTCAGCACAAACCCATATAGCACACGACGTCCAGTGGACGTCCAGTTTAGGTCCAAATAATGTCCAAAGGTCCATGAACCTAACATGGACGTTCAATGGATGTACAATTAGGGATATATTTTGTAACGTCCAGTACTGTACGCCTCATGGATGTCCATTGGGACTAAGATATTCGACTTCATCAAAACATCCATATTCCTAGGTTTCAGAACGTCCAAGAAATGAACGAAATCGGATCTAAATTGTACGTTTACGATTCGAACGTCTATGTACGATCAATGAATGTACGATTCCGGATATATTTTTTAAGTTCAAAATGGTACGTCTGATGGATGTACATGACTGGATCCAGTTTGTACGTTGACAAAATGGACATGAATGCACGTTCAGTGGATGAACGATCCTGGATATTTATTGTACGTTCAGTTTCGTGCGTCCAATGATTGTCAAGTGGATGTACAATTTTCGACATTATGAAACATCATCCATATCATGGCAGTTCTGGACCGACCTAGAAGAGTACGGTAGTGATCTAGATTGTATGTTCACAAATTGAACATCTATGTACGTTCGATGAATGTACGATTCTGGATATTCATTGTACGTTCAATGTTGTACGTCTTTTGAATGTCCATTGGAAGTTCAATATTAGATATTGTGAAACTCTTACAGTAAGAAGTTTCAGGACGTCCAAGTGACGTACATTATTGGATCCAGTTTGTACGTTTACAAATGGTACGTTTTTGTACATCCTTTGTATGTTGAAAGCTGGACGCACGGTAGAGGGGATGCGAGATGGCGCTCTGATCGGAACATGAAGTGGGGCAACGGAGGATATCGATCGAGTCCAGCTCCAAAGTGAACATATTATGTAGAAGGCAGACAAGGAGGTTACGCCATTTTGTGTGTTTTATACGTGTTTGTGATGAAATTTAGGATTCAGACTATTTGGAACTGAATCATCCAAAGCACATGTATGATGGTACGTAGCATATGTTCCGATATTCTTTCTCATATAATGCTCTGATAATGGTTTGGGGCGTTGTAGGTATAATGCGGAATAGGTATTTCATGATATTCTGTGGGTAACCTATGAGCTTGTGATTTGTTCGGAAAGGACGACTTGGATTTCATATGATATCAGAAATAGAGCTTTAAATTGGTATAGCACTAGTTGAAGTTGAGCTGAATTGCTGAATATAGGACTTAGACAGTTGATTTATACCCTAATCCTCGACTACAGAATACTATGAGTAATACTTTGTTTGTCTCTTTTAACAGAAAGAAGAAGCGAGGTGACAGGAGAAAATATAAATCCATAATTTTTATAAAAATATAGTGAGAAAAGCACGATATCATCTCTACTATGTTTGAGAAATCAAATCAGGGAAATATCCAGCCTCTGCCTATATTCAGAAGTCATACAATATACATGAGACTTATAATGGCTGGGTCATCCGGAAGTTCAACGTTCAATCGGGTTACGTCCAATGGATGTCCATGTGTGGACTATATGTATTGAATATATATTCATAATGTGGTTCTGAAGAGGAGTAATCATTGGGGTTCAGATAGTCACTGTATGGACGTTTATATAGAATTTAAACTGAACTGTGGTGAGTATCCAATTATACATCAAGTATACAATTTTATTATTCCTCTCTTCATATATGGGTAATATTATAGCTCTACTTTTTCAGTTTCATTTTTATCGAATTTTGTTCTCAAAAAATCAGGATAACTGTATCTTGTCAGTTTTTTGAATTAATGCTTTTTCAGATAGTATGTTTTGATTACTCGAATCTTCCATGAATGTCGTGAGTCGAAAAATATTTAGCCGCTAAATTATGCTGGAAAACCTATTACAGATTCTGTTTAACTCGACATCATCCTAATTATGATGGCTGAACAAGAGCAGAATGACGAAATTCATGCAATAAATTCCAAGCATATGTTGTATCTATATTAAATGATATTACACTGTACCTTACAGATATTTTTTTAATAAATAATATTTTATATGAGTATGGATTCTTTGTTTGGATATTCATTGACTGCTTTCAGTTCATGTCCATTGAACATCCGTGCGTCCATTGGACGTCTCTAATGGACATCCACTGACTGCTTTCAATTTACGTCCATTGAACATCCTGAATATACGTTCATTGAACATCCTGAATGTACGTCCACTGTACATCCTGAGTGTATGTCCATTAGACATCCTGAATGTACGTCCATTAAACATCCTCAATGTACGTCCATTGAACATCCTGAATGTACGTCCATTAGACATCCTGAATGTACGTCCATCAGACATCCTGAATGTACGTCCATTGAACATCCTGAATGTACGTCCATAAGATGTTAAATCCAGTGAGCTGTGGACGTTTTCTGGACGTTTCAATGTACATGACTGGACGTTCAATGGACGTCCACTATGTCCATGTTGTACATCCGTTGGACATTCATTGGACGTACATGTGCTATATGGGAACTGACCTTAAATAAGCTTTTTTCTCAGCTCTTACCATCGACAATGTGTAATTACGAATATCTTTATAACTCGACCAATCTGCCTCCGTTTTTGTATTTTTGAATTTTTGTAAGGCTCTATCTCTTTCTCTCATTATTAATTTCAAGTTAGGAGTGAGCCAAGGAGCAGGTGGTTTGGTAACTCTTGCTTGTCTGATAGGAGCATGCTTATCAAAGTTTGTGATGATCAGGTTATTTAGAATCTTGAGTTTGTTGTCAATGTCCTCTTCCAAAATCACATCAAACCAAGGTAATGTTTGGAGGTCGTTCAAGAAGGAATCAATGTTGAAGTCTTTAAAGCATCGATAAGTTACACTTTTTGGTTTCATTTTAGGTCGATTCAATTTAAATTCTAAATAAACTAACATATGGTCAGATATACCATTAGAGGGCAATGTACCAGATTTTGTGATGAATTCGCTTTGATTCACAAGAATTGGATCAATAAGTTTACTAGATGTGGCTGTGATTCTCGTTGGCTCAGTCAGAATTTGTTCAAACCCGTAAGATTCAAGACAATTTTGAAAAGCATTATTTTGAATACTCAGAAAGTCATAATTGAGATCACCCATGCAGATTACGTCATCATAAAGGGGGCAAATGTTTGAAAAGATACTATCAAAGTCATTGATTAAATTGTTGATATTATTATGTGGAGGTCGGTAAAATACACCAACAGCAAGTTTACTCATTTTAATTTTCACCTCCAGAAACAAATGTTCAAGAAAATTGCTCACCGGAAAGTCGAACGATATTCGTTTGGCATTGTACGAGGTCCTCACGTAAATACCGACACCACCTCCTCTTCCTTCTCTATCACACCGAAATAAATTGTATCCAGGTACACGAACAGCATTAGAGCAAGTAACATCAGTCAGCCATGTTTCAGAGACCATTATAATATCGAATTCATTTTCATTAATAAGAGCTAAAAATTCATTGAAACCTGTAAATATCGACCTAAGATTCAAATGAGCTATTTTCATAATGATGAATGAAGAAATAAAGTACTTGTTTATGAAAAGTTAATGTTACAAACAGTTACAAATAGATAGTGTTTATAAAATTGAAACACATATTTATCACCCACGAGACATAATATATCAGTCGCGAAGAAAATCTATATAATTTGAATGTTGAGTCCTATATCAGAATTAAAATATATTTATATTGTATATCTGTATATATATAAGTATACCAATGAATTTGCCCTTGGCCCGAAGGAATCAAGCTTGCTAAGATTATAGAAAATTTAAAAAGTATGAAATACTTAGTACACAACTCAAAATCAGTTGATCTGGAGAAAAAAAAAATATATAGAGCGAATCGTGATGCCGCTCTGACAAAGCAGAAAGAAAATATACATAGGTACGTACCTACCATCATTTGAATCATTTAAATCCCAAAATTAATATCGAAAGAATATAGTATGAAATGCCCAATTTATGAATTATAAAACTATGTATGAAATATGCGTTTCAATATTGCATTAAATTGTGATTGATATATTGGATATAAAATGAATAATAATCAAATAATATCAAGTTTACTTATATACTAAACACTAGGTAAATATAATTTGGATAACCAATGTGATAAGGAAAAAAGAAGCTATGCATTTTATATAATGTACAAAAACAAAACAAAAGAGTGCCATGGACATGGACCTTTCGCAAGAATCAGGAGTTTATCAAAATATCTACATCATTTTCACACTTCAAAACTTTCTTAGCGCCACCATATTCGACGTAGGTTAATCCATTGAAAGTCCAAGCAGCATTTTTGAAGTGTGATCTGGCCTTCTGAAAGATCTTCATGTTATCCGTCGTCAACATTTCAGTGACAACAATCGATGAACCTTTGAATTTTTTCTTGTTAGAAAAAACAAGGTCACGCATCCAGCGACGAACGAATTTAACAGCAACAGGTCTAGTTTTTGCAGTATTTTTTCCCATGCGAAATACATGACTAATATCAAATTTGTTTATATCGATTCCTAATTTGGTATTGAAAAGATTCAATAAACCATCTAAGATGTGATCGTTATCCTCTTTGAATCCATGAATTATCAGGAACTGATTATTTCTTTGCATTTCTATGTTATTCATTTTGTCTGATATGCTGTTCATCTCAATTTTCAAAACTTCAAGATCATTTTTGAATAGATTGAGTGAATCATTAATAGATTTCTCGAATACTTTGAGTTTTCCAAATAATATATCATTATTACTATTATCAGACCTAGAAGTACTTGCATTTGCCTCGGAATTAAAATTATCTTCCAGCTCCTTCATACCATTATGAAACAGCTCACTCAACTTATCCATACGGGCACTTAGTTCTTTCACAGTCACATTACTTGTTGGTGCCATTTCGACAAAATGATTATATTTTATCGAGTAGATAAATTCCAGTGTACGTGATAACTAAATAGGTACCAATACAATATAATTTAGTCAGAGCGCAAGCACAACACGTCTACTCTCTACGACGGCTCATTGCAACCCCGAGTTGTTCTGGCACAAGCTCTATAGATTGGTAGTCGGCTCAAAATTGATTCGAATAATTAAAAATCTATATGATAAGGCAACCATGACCGTGAAGGAGAAAAGAGACTTCAGTAAAAAATATGATATCACAAAGGGAGGTTTGCATCAGGGTGAACCGCTAAGCCCTATTTTATTTTCATTATTTCTCACCGACATAGAAGAATATTTCTTGTCCAGAAATCATACTGGCGTTAACATCGATAGCATCAATGATATCATGATGTCATTATATGCTGATGACCTAATAATTTTGAGCGATTCTCCCATTGATTTGTCGCGCAAGCTACGAACTTCAGAAAAATACTCAACAAAAAATATGAACTAACAGTAGAAACACACAAAATAATCAATTTGTTTCCAAAATTCCTTGATATAGGTGATGAAATCCAACAAAAACATATTATCACAACTTAAGGCTGAAGCATGGTAGTCCAACAGGAGAGATAATAATTATCGTAATTATGATGTGAAATTATCCGGAAGTAAAATACCTCTCCATTCGGATTTTCGGGCGAGAGGTGCTAGAGAGGATTCACCATCGACTGAAAAAGTCCTCGAGATTGACCTATTTAACATCCGAGGCCTATGTAAGAACATCAACGATGTTCATCGACACCTTCAAAATGGAAAGCCAGACATATTGGCTCTTACTGAGACGCGACAGGTCAATTGATTCACCAATACGACCTATCTGCTCTGTCCTGGGTTCGAACTCCACACACGTTTCAGATTCAATAGAGGTATCTGCTTCTACTCTTAAACGAATCTCTCAGGTCAACAAGAAAAAACTTTAGGACCAAATAAGTTCGATGTCATGTGGTTCGAACTCGATAGCCAGAAACAGACCAAATACCTTTGTTGTCTCTACTCATCACCAAATGATCCATCCTATAAAGAGCTCTTCGAATTCTTGTCTCTGAAGCTTGACCAAATTCAACATAACCATCCAGCAGCAGAAATCATCATCATGCTGGGCGATTTCATTGTACACAACACTGCTCGGCTCGTACACTCTAACAGAACGGATGAAGCTGGGCGACAAGCCGAAGCTTTCGCCATCACTCACGGCTTGGAGCAGCTCATCAAAGAACCCACACGAATTCCCGATGCCAATAACCATTCAGCTAACATACTTGACTTATTCCTCACTAATAATTCAGCACCCTACACCAGAGATGTACGAGCTCCACTTGGCAATTTTGACCACACACTCATATCCAGAACCTGCCCATTTTTCATTCCATCAACTGCTCCGGCACCCAAACGTCTTATATGACATTACAATTCAGGAGATTGGGACGGTATCCGCATGTTTTTCTCCGAGTTCCCTTGGCATAGAGTATGCTTTGACTCTGAGGACCCTTCACAGTGTGCTGCGGAAATATCCTAGATCATCATGCTCGGAATAAACACCATACATACCTCATTTTTCGAAGAGATCATCACCATCGACACCCTGGTCCAACAAAAATGTTCTAGAACTGTTGCCTTGAAACAAACAGCCTACCATCGCTGGCGTAAAAACTCTTACCTCGCGACTAGAGCAGAATACGTTGATGCCAGGAATGAATGCAGCCAAACAATAGATGCTTCCGAAGAAACATACAATGCCAAGAAAAGATCGAGACTCATAGATTGTTTCAATGGCTTCGGTTCGTTTTGGTCCCTTGCTAAAGCGGTCGGAAGAAATTTCACTAATAGTTCATTTCCACCACTGTCCAAATCCGACGGCACATCAGCAACAACATCGCAGATATGATAATAAAGTCAGTTCTCATCAGGAATAATAAAATAACAATCAGAACTGGTACAATCGAAAAGATTATCATCAGGAGTGATCCAAAGGATCAGAAATTATGACGATTGTCATTGAAATGAATTTGTAAATACTATGATGAATATCGTTACTGACAATTTTGCGTCAAAATGTGGAGATTCATTGAATTGGACGTTTTCGAATCGAAGTGATTTTCAACCTATATTGTCTCTTGATATCATTTTCCGGACATGTGTCTATAGGTCCATGGCTGTTGGCGAGCAGTTTATATTACTGAGGATGACTACACTCATTCATAAGTGGAGTACAATTTTGGTATATCTCTCGCTCTAGAAAATTTCAGGATCCCAACCTACCGATTAGGTGAGATACGGGGCGTTTCCATGAGAAGTGAGACAAAAATGAATAATTCAGAACTGACAATTTTTTAGGAAAAATATGACTATAGTCAGAGAAGTGGGCGTCCTGATTCCGGATTTGAAGTGATTTCCAACCAATTTTGACTCCTAATATCATTTTCCGGAAACTGGGGTGGTTCCATATATGGCTTTTGGCGAGCAGTGTGAATCACTGGAGATGACTCCAAGTGATCAAAGGTCAAAGCGTGAATTTTTGTTATATCAATCGCTCCAGCAAATTTCAGGAACCTTACCCAACGATTACGTCATGGGTGTTTCCATTAGAAGTGAGACACACGCTGTATGATATTGATCGCGATGTGAAGTGTGGGATCATAAGAATATAATGAATGTACCTGAAGGACTATTTTGTTTTGTGTTGGAGATGGGCTGCTTATTAGTTCGCTTGGTAATTGGCTCTGATATGCTCAAACATCCAAAGTTATTCAGGCCAACTTTCAACGTGTGTGGGTCAGTTGTTTATGCAAGAGGGTAGAGAGGATTCAAACACAGTAGGTACCTTCCCTTATGTGAATAAGGATGAAATCAGTCTCAGTCTCAAAATTCATCTCTTCCGTTTATATAAACTACTTTCACTTTTATTTTGAATAGTTTATAACAATCCAAACTTCTAACATGTAATTTCAAATCTAAGAAGTGTATCTAACGATAGATCAGAATGTTCGAGAAATCATGTACACAATTTTGACAGATTTTCAACAAAGTTTGAGTTCTTGATGATAGAAATTGTCCCTACATTTTTTCTTTCACCAAATGTTTTACACAAAAGGATTTTTTACTGTGTATACAGGGTGATTCAGAAGTGATCGGCATCCTTCCAGGGGCGTATTCCTTGCATGGGGCAAAAACTTCCTATTATGAAGGGTCCGAAAATACTTCCTGAGGAAGCTACCCCCTTTTGAATAGGACATCCCCAAAGACGATTTTTTTCTATAAATTCAAAATCCTTCATGATAAATTAAAATTGGTGTACGGCATAAGCATTCGATGGTATATAAATATAACACTGAATTCAAAATTTCAGGAGCGTCAGTTGCGGTAAAGGGTAAGTGTAAAAACATTCCTCCTTCTTTTGATATTCAATTTATTGTAATTTACGCAAATCAGAAAGTTTTCATAGTCGATTTTATCCTGAATGGTACGCTCTATCGAAATAAGCTAAGGAAACCTTTTGTACGTGAAAAAACTCTAGAATTTTATAATTTCCAAACGAAATCACAATGAACTGAATATCAAAGAAAGATGCGAAGTTTTTACACTTATCCTCTTCCGCATGTGAAGCTCCTGAATGGAATTTTTCAATTTTGATTTGTCTTATTTCAAATCAAATTTTATTGCTGCTCACCAAATATTGGAACATTCATTGTCAAGGATAGAAGAAATCGTCTTAGAGAGGATCTATTCAAAGGGGCGTAGCTTCCTTAGAAAGCATTTTCGGACCCCTATCAATTAGAACATTTTGTCTCATTTTCATGCAAGGAATGCGCCCCTGGAAGAATGCCACTTACTTTCGAATTACCAAGTATATAACCTCTCATCAACACCCTTGTATGCATTGTCCTCCAAACTTCACAACCTTTTTGCCTACAAAAAGAAGAAAACAGAATCATATCTGCAACCATAACAACATTCTCCTTGAATTCACAGGGATATTCCATATAATAGTGATTTCCCTTCCACAAAACATTCTTACCTAACAAATGTATAACATATGCGAAACCATGATTATGTTCTCACAATATTCGAGGAATTATATCAATTTTATGTAAATTCATTCACCGAGTTTTCACGAACGCACACGAACGATAGATAATCGAGCTGGACTCGTTCGAAGGTCAAAGGAGCTTTTTGTCAAGAGTGAGCCCTGGGTTCAGAAACGAATTTGATCTCAGTTTTGGACTTAACCAACATTATGGTATGGTGGAAATAGAATAATGTCGATCAATCGAGATAATCCGTGATTCTGGTATGATGAAACGGTTAGAATTATGGAGTTATGGCGATTGAATCTGTCAGTCAACTCAAAAACTAAGATCAACTCTTTCCATAAAACCGGACCCTAGAAATAAAATGGTGTCAGTGTTATGTTTTTTTTTGTGTTATTTTCTCTTGACCAGCGAATTGAGCTGCCTTGAGAATTGAGCTATCTAAGTTTCAGGAATTTGATTGGAACGTGGAATACTCTATTTTGTCGAGTTGAATGATTATGGGCAAATGGGGTGCTCAGAACTGTACTTCATCCAGTGGCGTACAAGTAGGAGAAGAAATCAATTACTACTCCTTCAGAATCTTCACCAAATATGACCAAAAAACGAAAAGTTCCGCACAGACCAGGGTTCATTATAAGTCGAAGATGAAAGCTGCTCTCTTGAGTGATAAACGGTTCTAGAAATATTCGCAAAAAACTATTTTTTCAAATTTCAACAGCCTGTATCTCGAAAATAGTGCATTTCTGAGGGTTAGTTGATAACATTTTTTTTTCATATTTTCGAACGAACTACGACCTCCTGAAGTCCTGCGCATATATTATAGAATACCCTGTACAGTGGATGAGGAGATATACGAGAGTTCATCCGAATTGGAAGAATTTCCGATGAATCACCGATTTATCGTGAAAACACTATAAC